AGTGCAGACCGTAGAGGAGCTAAATGCATGGAAGGAGCAGTGGGCACCGCCGGGGAGGAGGGAAGCCAGCTCTGCAGGGCCTTGAATTTTGTTGCTTAAGGTCGAATGAAGAACTCTTCAGAGGATAATGGTTCAGTAACTCAGGCGCTAAAGTAATGGAAGCAAGAGAGAAAATCGCCTCCTGACTCTAAATCTCGGGGGGCAGCTGATGGTGGGAAGGAGCAGAAGTGATGGGGGGCTTCAGTGTCCCTGAACAAACCCTTGCGTGAAAAGTGCTTAGGAGCTAATCACATCTAACAGGGAGAGGTGCCCTTCAGATGGTAAATCTCTCCATTAGCAAGGACAGTACCTGCGCCGTGGACTCAGTCTCTTCTTGGCTGGAAGCAAAGTGCCAGACCACTTTCTGGCTTCTGGCAGGAGAAAATGGGGCGACCCAAAGCTGGCTTGTACTTGATTATGGAGGGGAGTCCAGGGGGCTGCAACATGTCCATCATCACCGCCTGCAAATCTACCCCTTCATGGGGGTCACAAGACTTGTATAAGGGAAGTGGGGGAAATGCTGAATACAAGACATTGTGGGTTCTGGATGGGGTCACTGTGTATCACAAGACAAAAATGAATGCAATGGTCACAAGTCCGTGTGCAGAACCACACCTTGCTTCTTCAAGGTGACCTCCATGTGTATGGATCTGGTAGACTGAGCGTATTTCCCTAGTGCCCCCAAGTCCCTCCCTCTGCAGCACAGACCACCCAGAAAAGGCAGACTCTCTAAAGCTGATAGAGCTGGTGATACAGCTCAGTGGCATAGTGTCTGCCTAGCAGGTGCAAGGTCCTGAGTTTGATTCTCAGTACTCCCAAAAAAGCTGATGACATCCTGATTTCTTACCCTTAATGCCTGGAGGGCTTCCTAGTACAAGCAGTGTGTAAGCAAGAGGAGAGGGAGGATTCACAGGAAGTTCAGAACTCCAGCGTCTTCCACATTTAAAAGACTGGGCTCTGGCCGTGTGCTGTGGTCCATGGCTGTCATCCCAGCAACATGGGAAGCCGTGGCAGAAGGATCTTAAGTCTGAGCCCAGACAATTTAGTGAAACTGGAGACCATGTCTCAAAATAAAAAATAAAAAAGGTGGGGATGTAGCTCAGTGTGAAGACCATGGGTTCAATCCCCAGCATCATTCCCCCCACCCAAAAAAAAACAGGTGTGGAGCAGGCTCACAAGAGCAAATACTGGATGGAAGTGACAAATGGTTTATTAAACAGGACATAGAGCCACGCAGTTTGGGCTCTGCAAGCTCCAGCAGTTTCTAAATTTCACTTCTCATCTGTAAAAGAAGGACTGACCCCAGGCCTGCCCACCCCACAGGCTGTTTCAGGGATCATGTGAGAAAATACGGACACTCCTAAGTATTGAGCTGCTCCTCCCTGGAAGTATAAGCTACTAATAAAATTGGACAGAATCTGCCATCAAGACCACAGCAGACATTTTATGTGCTTTATCTCAATGTCTCTCAATTAGTCTGATCATCACAGCCCACGGGCAGGTCCATTACTTGCCACTGTATAGCTGGTGAAGCTCAGAGGTCCCATAATTGCCTGGGGCTGCGGCTGGTTAACAGAGGGATGTTGATCCAAATCAGTGTCACCCATCCCCTGGTTCAGGAAGGATCCAGTGCATGCTCACTGCACTCAGGCAGAGCCACCAGGAAAGAGTCGCAGATGGGAGCCCCACTTCATGCCCTCATAGGAGAAAGTATCATTCACAAAGGATTGCCAAGGCTCCAGACGCTAAACTTACTCGCAATTTGTCACTGAGGAAAACCACAAGCCAGAGAGGTCAGGTGACAAGCTCAGACTCACACGGCTTCTCTTCCATGGAGTCCAAATTTGAACCCAGGTTGCCCGTGGTATTGATCCTGTGTGTACTATGCTACATAAACCAAAGCTTTTCATTGCTGAGCACTGTTGTTCACACCTGTATCCCAGCTACTCAAGAAGCTGAGGCAGGATCACAGGTTTTAGTCCAGCTTGGACAACATAATGCCTTAAAACACAAAATAAAAAGCGGTTGTAAATAGAGCTCAGTACTAGAGCACTGATGAATTCAATCCCCAGTACTGCAGAACAAGAAAAAGAAAAAGAAAAAAATGTGTCTTTAAAAAAAAAAAAAAAAAAGGTTTTTGTTTTTTCGATCATTATTATGAAACGCTTACTCTGAATTCTACGTCTAGGCCTTCATAACTTGCCATGTCAGGTTCTTGAAGTCACATTTGTGAAATGAAGAAAGAAAAGGAGACTCGGTCCATGCCGACTCCAGAAACTGCTTTGTAGGAAAGCGCTAACATTTTTCTGCCAGGGTGAGGACAGGACAGTAAATCTGAAGCTGCCTGCTGCTCAGAGACAAGAGGGATTCGCCACATTTGCACATCACTGTTGCCCAGATCGGCTCCCCAGGTTCCCTGGAAAATTCCTCCTCTCAGCTGGAGTGAGCTTGCAAATTCATCTGTCAGAGAAACCGGTGGTGCTGGGGCCTCGTGCTCTGAGCAAGAAAAGAGACAGGGGCCACCTCCAGACCTCCACTCCATAGACACGCACCGCCCAGGCGGCAACTTCACCGAGGAAGGAGAAATGGCCCGCAATGCCTCTACATTAGGAAGCTTATAATTATGCATAATAAAAGACGCCGGCCCTGGTGTATATAAACACAGCTTTGACTGAGTACCCTCTCCCGAACAGCCCTTCTGGCTCACAGCAGCAGCGATCAAGCATCTTAAACATATGGTTGCCATTCAGGCCTCGGGCGGATCTGGACTGAGGAGGGGGAAGGGCTGGAGAGGGACGCTTGTTTGGAGGAGGACTGAGCAGGAGCTGGAGAGGGAGGAGGAGGAATCCAGCCAGGAAATAGTCTGGGACAGGCATGCGGACCCCCACCAAAATCTGCTGTCTTTCTCTCTTTCTTCTCTGTTCGTAATGGCTTCAAAGACCACAGGAACTTGGTACATTTCCCCAAGGAGGAGACCTGCTGAGTAGCTCGAGTGTGACTATCAGGGATATTTTCTGGGTTTGATTTTGGGGGTCTGTGCTCATTTTTATCCATCTGATTTCAGTACCTGTCACCTACAAAGCACTGTATTAGGCTGAGTAGCTCACACTCAGACAGATAAACCAAAGGGGTTTACAGAGCCCCTGCCTTGCCCAAACCCTCTACTTGGGATCGCCAGCTTTGAGTTTTACCCAGCTGCTCCTGTCTAGCCTTTGGCTACAGACCCAAAGTTTGGGTACAATCTCCCTACCACCGCCTTTGTGACTCCATACTGCAGTGTGAGAGGCTCTGCTCTTCTTAGTGGTGGATTCTGCTCCTGGTCCTCCTTACCTCCCCTCCCAGCTCCCCAAACAACCCCCTTGCTTCCAGACCGACAGGGCAGCTGGAGAGCTAGAAGGAGCTGACGTCCTGCTCTGTCCCTGTGATGGCCGATTGGCTGCATCAATCTGACAAGTTTAGAAGTTTAGATCAGCTCAGCAGTGCCACACCCTAGGGTGTAGAGGACTCGCTTTCAGGAGGCTCATGGTCTGGATGGTTGGAGGAAGGGGAAATGAAGGATGGACTCACTCACTTCTGTTCTTTGGAGGAGCCCTAGTCTTCATCTTTAGATTGGACGCAGACTCAGAGCCTTCAGCCTTCTCTCATAGATCAATCGGCCTCTTGATACGGGACACTGCAGTGAACCCCAGACCTTAAGTCTCCAGTGTGCAGACACCATCTAACTCTATAACTGACCATTGCAAGCCAGTCTTGTAATTTCTTAAGCATTTTACATCTTGTGTTATCTATGTTTATCTAGTAACACGCTGACTGATAAGGTCCCCATGAGCAGGATTGTCTCTGCAGTCAGGTGGTCTGCTGAGCTGCATGCTCTGTCCACATGGGGAAAGATGGAAGTGGAATAGATGCTGGGGTGGGGGGCAGCACTTGATCTCCTCCTCTTCCTACAGCAAGCGTGGGGTCCTCTTTCTCTGTACTCCAGATGAGCTGTAGGGATTTGCTACAGTTTGAATCTTAGATGTATCTCAAAAGGCCCTGTGTTAAAGGCTTGGCCCTCAGCCCATCGCTCGACTAGAAGGTGGTAGAGCTTTAGAAGGTAGCAAAGTTAAGTCATGGGGATGCCCTTAAAAGGGATACTGGTCAACCAGGCCCTTTCTCTCACCTTCACTTCCTGGTTGATATAAGTGAGGAGTTTCCTCTGTCACAGCTCCCACCCCTGTGCTGCCGCGGGCCCAGAGTAACATGGTCAGTCAAACATGGACTGAAACGGTAATCACATTAAAACTTTCTTCAGTGTAAATTGATTGTCTCCAGTATTTTATTATAGTAATGGGAAGCTGACTAACAAGGGTACTGGCCTGCCTTTGGGTTCCCTTAAAAGAAGAGCCTGGGTTGAGGACTTGGGCACGGGCAGTTTATTTGAGAGCTGTTATGGTTTGTAACTAGATGCCCCTCCAAAAAAACCCACAGGCCCTTACAGGTGGGAGTTTTCAGAGCTTGCTGGATCTAGAGCATGTGATATGGGTACTAGGGTGTGTGGAACTAAATTAGTTCACTGATTGGAATTAGCATAATTCTGTGTGGAGCTGAATGGGTTTGCTAAAGAAAGAAGCCCCGTTCTGAGTGTAGGTGGCACCACCCGAAAAGCTTGTAGCCTCGATGGGATAAAAAGAAAAGGCAGGCTCGCTGCTCGCTGCCTTCTGTTCGTCTTGCCATGAACCCTTTCTCCTCTGTGATGCCCTCTGCCCGCCGCCCTGCCTTGGAGCCAGCAGAGTTTGGACTGAAACCTCTTCAACTCTGAGCTAAATAAACCTTTTCCCCTCTTAACTCTGGGTGTTGGATATTTTGTCCCAGCAATAAGAAAAGTAACTAAGATGTGAGGGGCAGCTAGGGAACACTGGGAAAGGAGGAAGACAACAGGCCCACCTTCTTCTTCTTCTTTTTTTTAAAATCCATTTTATTTCAAAGAGAAAAAAAAACAAATTTTCAAAACACAACAATCAGGGGACAACAATGGTACATACACTGCTCATTGCCATTCCCAAATCAGTCAATCAGAGCACAAAACATCTGCATTCAATTGTCCATACAGTACCAGCGCAAAGCTTTCTCTTCAGTGAACTCAGAGAAATCGTAGTATAACTATCTTAACTATAGTACATATAATATATACATATATTATATACATATATACACATATTGTTTCGGCTTCTCAGTCTATTGAGATAATATGATGTTTGCCATGCATGTAAGGCCGATCTTCTTGGGCTCAATCACATGAGATCCTCTTCAGAGCCAGCTTGGCTATACCTTGGAACTGTCCCTCTGAAAGACCAGAGACAAGCATTTCCCACAGACTGCCTTGGAAATGCTTGGATCCAAATCTTCTCCTCCCCCTGCCCCAGCAGGGACACTCCTGCTACTTTGGAGAAAGCCAGGACAGGAACTCAGCATTCACTGACGTTGGGACAAGGGCTCAGCATGCATGGAACTGTCCACCATGCTTTAGCTACAGATAAATCAGAAGGAGCCAAGGGACAGAGACTCAGAGTACAGAGGGATGAATGAACAAAAGAGAGAAAACTTTAAGGTTTCAGACACCATGGCAGGGGCAGGGGCAGGAAAAGCTGCCTGCCTCCCACCCCAGCTGAGCAGCCCCTCTCTGAGCACTGCTTTGTTCTACAAAGCAGGTGATGCGAGGCCTTGGCAGAGCAGCCGGGCACAGCAGTGCTGTGGGATGGTTCCCATCTCTGTGGCTCTCACTGCGAATGGGTTTAGATTTTGTGTTGGTTTTGCAGTGCTGGGAATTGAACCCAGGGCCTCGAGCATGCTAAGACAAGTGCATTGCCACAGGACCTCAAAAGGGCTGTCATAGGCCAGGAAGGACAGACAGCGAAGTCACAGGAGCAAAGATGTCAGCCAGGGTGGGGAGCAGAGCAAATGGCCTGGGCAGGAGCTGCACCACTGCCTTCATGAGAGACCATGAGGACGAGGAAGTGACCTTCAGTAACACTTGCCTGCGGACAGCACCCCCACCTCCGCAGAGCCAGGCTTACAGTCACCATGGGGCATGGGGCATGGGGAGCCCCTCCCTCCCCACTCACCTTCCCGCTGTCAGAGCAGACGCGCTCTCTCTCTCTCTCTCTCTCTCTCTCTCTCTCTCTCTCTGGCACTGATTATGAGGCTGAAAATGAACTCCAGGACTCAGCAAAGGTTCCTAAGGAGGTGGAAATTCAAGCTAAGGGAAGGAAAGGTTGGGGACACAAAACCCAGTACATGTGACACATAATGGCCTCTTTCCCACGTGTGCTGACGGGAGGACACAGGAGGATGTGGAAAGAGCAGGAAGGAAGCATCCTACAGGGCACAGGCAGCCCCCTACACACCCCAAAAAAGACCACAGCTCTCCACCAGGAAACATCAAAAGAGGCCTAGGGACAGCCTAGGGGAATGAGGCCAGGAGTTAAAGGACAGAAAGGAAGGCAAAGGAGCCAGGTGTCCTCGAACCAGGTGAGAGAACCCTGGAGCACAGCAGGAGTGATGAGAGCTGCACTTGGATCCAGTCTTCCTGTGCAGTTGTCATGGAAAATTGCAGCAGAGCTGGGCACCGTGAGTACCACGGAGCAAGGCCCAGGCTCCCTGATGCGGAGAGGAAATGAGCAAACAGAACCCTGCCCCCTGTGCGGCCCTTCTGCCACCCACTTCCCTCATCCCTACATCTGCCAGCAGCTACAGAGGCACGGAAAGAGGGGCAGGTAGGGGATGGAGAGCAAGGGGGAGGGGAGGGGGGAGGGGGAGGGGAGGGGGGGAGGGGAGGGGCTGTTTGCAATCCTGACATCCAATTTCCTTCTGCTCCCCATCACAAGGAGTTGTTTTCATGTACCCGGTAGCCAGAGGGGGATTGGAGATGCTAATTTCATTTCATTAGATCCCAGCAGCTTTGGATTACAGCAGGCAGGAGGAGGAAACGGAGCTGATGTGTTTTAAAAAGCCGCAGTTTTGCGCTGTTTTTAATTTAAAGCTGCCGGTAAAAGATGCCGCCTTGGAGTCGCTAATGAGTCTGGTGAATTATTTTGGTTGATTTACACACCCCTCCGACTTTAAATAACGAGGGAGGAAGGAGTGTGGGGTCCCCCCTGGAGCTGCAAACCTGCAGCTGGAAGCTGGCCCTGCCAGGGCTGCCAGGGGCTGTTCTGTGAACTGTCTTTGCCCTGGGCAGGCCACCTCGGGTCCCCCACTCCCACCAGCCTCAAACCTGGGGATTTACGAAGAAGCCACAGACTTAGACACCATTCCCCCTAGACGCTCCTCTGTCCAAGCCGGGTCACACCTAATGTCCCTTGTCAAATAATAATGGCAAGAATATATTTGGAATCCTTAAAGTGAGCCAAATCTGGGACAAGACATTTGATCTGCAAAAACTCTGATGCTCTCACCTTTAGGCTGAGGATCAGTGTGGCTTTTTCTGTATCCCTGAGGAAGAAAAGGATTTCTGTATCCCTGAGATCAAGGATTTTGCTCAAGGTCACCCAGCCAGGAAGGGGCACAAACACCTCCAGGCTGTCTTGAAGGGCCCTTCCAGTCTGGCACAGTACTGTACTTGAAGAGCTGGTGAATGAGCAGGGAACTTGAATTTGTTGGAATCCAGAGTTGAGGCCTTCCTGCTAACTTCCCAGCTTCCTGCGGCCTCCAAAGGGGCTGTCTTGGCCAGCAAGAACAGGACCCAAGATCCTCCTCCTACTCCTCCTTCTACTCAGTGACACCCAATCAGTGGCTGCCCCAGGGTCCGGCCCTGCAGCTTACCCCAGGTACCCAGGCAGGAACTGCACAGAAGCCTGTCTGCCTGCAAACCTCACTCAGTGGTCAGAGCACTAAAAGAGCCTCCATTTATCTTGATTCCTGGCTTGTCTCTACCAGGGGAAATGGCTCCTGTTCTCTTCCTTTCAAAATAAAATTAGATGCAGCTGGTAAAAGCATTAAACCCCCTTCCAAACTGTCTTTTCTCATCTGTCATGTCAGGGCTGAGGTCCAGGAGTGAGGGTCTCTTGGCTGGGAGCCTCAGGTGATGGGCAGAGGGCTGGGAAGGAGCTAGGTCAGGTGACAGTGGGAGACCGGGCCTCTCCATCCCTAGGTCAGAGCAGCTGCATTCCTGATTCTGCCCAGCAGGAGACTTTGAGCCCCGCCTGCCCACAACAGTCAGAAAAAGACCAAGTTATGAAGAAAGAGCTAGAGGGCTCTGTGACTCAAACATCAAAACAATCAGGGTCTGTGCAAACCACTGCAGATTTCCATCACAGGCACACCGCAGCGGCAACAGGAACCAGAGGGGATACAGGCTACAGAGCTGCAAGCCCAGGTTCAAACCCCAGCTCTGCGGCTTGCTAGCTGTGTGACCTCCGGAGAGTTCCTTTGGACTCATTTTGCTGGAGGTAAAGTGGGCCTGGCAGGGAGCAGATGGCACTTCCACCAGAGTGATGAGCAAAGGGACCTGAAGCAGCCATGGACTCTGAAGGCTCAGTGCAAGAGCGAAGCGTAGGTCCTTGTTCAAAAAACACTGCGAGCTTTGAACCAAGTGCAGTGGGAAGGGGGGGGGGGGGCAGTGCATCCAGCTTCACAGGGCATGCACCTGTGAAGCTGGCCCTGGAGAGGGGCCTCTCACCAAGCTGTGGGCAGGTCTCAGGGAAACTCTTCCTTCTGCAAATGATCTGGAGAAAGCCAGAGCTGTCGCCAGTTGCAGGAGGCCACAGAATAGGAATAACATTTTGCTGGAGGAGATACCTGAGACTTGGAGGGGTGGGGCACAGAAACTGAGGAGCACTCAGTTCTCTCTGTCTTCCTGTCTGCCCCTCCAGCTCCTGCTCCGAGCATCTCCCAACCGGCAGGCCGGACCAGAAAGAGCTGTACTTACCAGACTGGAGATTGGCCTGCCATCACAAAGCAAGCAAAGGAGGTAAAGGGGCTCCAGGACTGCGATGCAGGTGCATCGTTAGAGCAGCTTCGTGGATGTCTCGGGGGAGGGACCCTGGGAGGTGTCTTCCTGTTCTCTGTGGAATTTCCGGGTCTGACATCTACCAGGTGCTCCGGTAAGGTCTGGGCTGAATGGACCTGGTTTCAGATGGGAGCCACTGGCTCAGGTTCTTCTGCAATGATCCTGGTGCTATCTCTGAAGCTCACCTTCCCTGGTGGACAAGGACAGGGAGGGAGGCACAGGGCAGGCTGGGTCCCTCCAGCCAGGTAGAGCTATAGACCCTCAGGACTTAGCAGTCAGACATTTGGGCTGTGAAGAACATTACTACGACCAAGGCAGGGGGGTTAAAGACTAGGGCTAAAGATATCCTGAGTGGAGTGAGAGACTGGTGGAAATCATGGTGTTCTGGGAACCCAGGAACCCATTCCTGGAGTCCCATGAGATGACAGATGCTCTCAGCACTGGTGACCATGCTGTCACACCTACCAACACACAAGCAAAGTGCCAGCTGACCTGGGCAAAGCATCCTCATGTGCAGAAAGCCTTTTGTGTGTCTCTGCAGGGTCTGCTGCTGGCTGAATGCTGGAGCAGCTGGGAAGAAAGAGCCCTGCCCTGGGTCAAGACAAAGAGCCCAGGGCAAGGATTCCTGGCCAGAGCCCATACTGCCTGGCATGGCTCAGTGAAGCCCCCTAATTGGGTCCACCTTTGGGAGGGCAGCTGGTCAAGAAAAGTCACACTGGCTTGGGAATCAGTTCCCCCCAACCATGCCCCATGAGTAGCACCAAACCTGACATCAGGCTGGGCGCCCTCCGGGGCTGGGGAGCTTTTCTCTGTCTATCCAGATTCTGCCTCTCCAAGGTAATCTTCTGGTTCTCCAAGGATCAGGCCCTGAGAGAAGGATTGGGACTCAAGGTCTTTGAGAGATACAGGGAAACAAGAAAGTGATCCAGGGAAGCAAGCAAAACACACAACTTGGAAAGATCCACACACATCTGGGCCACAAGGGTTGTGTTTATACATCGTGATGACCCTTGGCTGCCATGGGTGCTAATCTCACACCCTTCTGTCTTGCTGACATGAGGCAGAGGGCCATCCAGAGCAGTAGCTGGGGCCCCACAGGCTCTGAGAGGCCAAAGCTGACAGCAGGAAGAAAGCCAACCGTGCAGAAGGAAAATAGTCTGGCCGTTTAAACAATCTGCTTCACCCTCTAGAGTCCAAAGCACACTTTGCTTTCAAATGCATTTATTGAGTGCCTACGGTTTGTGCCAGGTTTGGAAGCAAATACAGAGAACACTAACTTATCTCAAAACCCAATGTAGGGACAGGGAAAAAGCAAAGCCCGCGTGGTACAAAGCCACCATAAAAGCAAGACAATGTATTATGAAGCACAGAAGAAGGAGCTGGGAAGTGGGAAAATCTTCCACCAAAAAGGTAATATTTCCATTGGGTGGCTTTTAATATTTTCCATATGTTAGTGACTCCCAAATTTATACTCCAGCCTTAACTACTTTCCTGGATTCCAGACTTAGAGATCCAACATCCTACATGATATTTCTACTCTGATGTTTAATCTGGTTCTGTATTGGTTCTCTAATGCTGCGTAACAAATGGCTTAATCAGAAGCTTAAAGCAACTGACATTTACAATCTCACACAGTTCCTGAGTATCAGAGGCCCAGGAGAGGATAAGCTGGGTGGTTCTGGCTCAAGATCTCTCTTTCATGAAGTTCTAGTCAGGACACTGGCTGGGCTGCAGCCCTCCAAAGGCTGGCCTGGGGTGAGAAGATCTGTTTGCAAGATGGTGCGCTCACAGGGCTGCTGGCCAGAAGCTTCAGTTTCTTCCCATGTGAGCCTCTCCAGAGGGCTGTTCATGGCATGCCAGCTGGCTTTCCCCAAAGCAAGTGCTCCAAGAGAGAGAGAGACATAGAGTGAGGGAAGAGAGAGGGTCCGTCTTTTACAACCTAATCTCAACAGTGGCATGACATTGCTTCTGTCCTGTTTCACTGACCACACTGAGTGGCCCTGGCATTGTGCAGGAAGAGGCTACAGAAGGCTGTGTGACTGGGGCCATCTGGAGACTGGCAGCTCCAGGATCTCAAACTCAACAGACGCCAAGCAGAATGTTTTGAAATCTCTCTTTGCACACAAAACCCATCTTAGTGAATAGCAAATCTACCTTTCCAGCGGCTCAAGTCAAACCCTAGGAGAAACCTTGGAATCCTCTTTCCCTCACACTCATGTCCAAACATTTAGCAAATGCTATTCACTCTGCCTTGGGATTCTGATCGCTTTCCACCATCTCCATTGCTGTCACCCTGGTTAAAAACACTTGGTTCATCATCTTACCTGAGAGGCCGACTCAGCCAATCTCCCTGCTTTCGGCTTTGAACTTCTATAGTCACAGTAACCCTGCTCAAATGTGCTTCTTCTCTGTGCAGGACCCTCCCATCAGAGCAAAAAGTCAGTTGGTGAGATCCTATACTACCTGCTGAGGCCCTGCAGTGAGACCCACTGCCTCCACCCTGGTCTCACATTCTGCTACTGTCCAGCACCCACTCCATGCAGCCACACTGGATATCCCTCACACACTCCACAAACACTCCTACCTCAGGGCCTTTGGGGTGCTCTTCCCTCTGCCTAGAAAGCTCTTCCTCCAAGCATCCACATGGCTGGTTCCTCTTTTCTTTCAGGTCTTCATGCAGCACCCCCTGCTAACTGTGCCTTCCAGGGCTGTGCTTCCCGCCCTCCTCCTGCCTTTATTCTCCTTAGTATTTCCAGCCGCCAAGCCATGCACCATGTGTTACTCACGCTTCCTACTTTCCTGTCTCCCTTAGTAGAATATAAGCCCCACGAGGCCTCCCGTTTCGCTTCACTCTCTATTTCCAGCCCTGGAATTGCAGCTGACCACTGACAGGTGCTGAGAAAACATTTAACTGAGGGACTAAGTGGAAGGAATAGGACAGAGGGTGTTTCAGCCACCTGTGGCTTTATCACACCACCAAAAGCACAGAAGAGACAACACGGGCACTGGTTTCCAAGTATTTAGCTCTGGCACCTGTGCTATGCACGGGACTTGAGGAGACTGCTCACCTGTGCTTTACCTGGCATTGGCGGGGTGAGGAGCTAGCAGTGGGGGTGACAAGCTGGTGACAAGAGGCTGGAGCCATCCATAGCTCAGTAGCTATCTGACAGTTGCTACTGGCCGTTACCCATGACCCAGCTGGAGTCAGCTAGAACGCCTGTGAGAGTCAATCAAAAAAATGTAGTGAATATTTAAGTCTTTAAGAAATGTTAAGAGTGAAAGACACAAAACCATTGATCGCCCTCAAAATACTCCCATACAAATCAAATCATCTCTGATTAATACTTTCCACTGGTTTCTGGTGCTTTCCAGACAAACAGATTTGTCAGTGCCAGCAATGGGCCCTGCAAGGCCTCGGCTGTTACCCAACCACCTCCTCCATCTCACTCCTCTCCTGTCTACCACACCTGCCCGCTGTATGTTTCAGGCGTGCTGGTGTTCTTAAATTCCCAAACTGTCTATGCTCCCTCCAGCCACGTGCCTTTGCATATGCCCTTCCCTTTTGTATTGATAGAGACATTGAGAAAGGCATTCCAGGTGTGTGACACAGGACAAATAAAGAGGTACAAGGAGTGACTGCAATACTCAATGAAGGTTTAAACTTTTTCAAGTTTATTGCACTAAACTGTGGGTCGCCATTAATTCCTCTCAAAATACACCTCATTGCTTCGAACACACTTATCCCATTGTCCTTGCCACTTTCTGAAGCAATCCTGGAAGTCCTCTTTTGTGAGTGGATAATTTTTAGTGAGTATAATTTTTATTGGTGCATGTTTGCATAATGTTTACATTTCTCATATACAGTTGATACATACATGTGTATCCCCCTCCAAAAGCTAAGAACATAGGGATTCAGTAGCCTCAGTGTTATGGTTTGTGTTTAGCTGTCCCCCCAGTGCCTCAAGTGGCCATAGGCGAGGCTTCTGGGACGTGGCTGAATCTAGGGTATGGGATACAAGGATTTAAGGATGTAATGCCACGATCAAGGGCATGTGATTACTAAGTCAGTCCACTGATTGGTTTAGCACAGTTTTGGGTGTGGATAATGTGATGCCCACTCTAAGCGCTGAGGAAGGCCCATGTTGGGGATTGCAGGCTAAGCTGAAGCTGGCCCAGCGTTCCGGGGCACCACAGGGTGGGGATCAACTCCAGAGGGGAGGGTCAGATCTGGAGCTCAGTCTCCAGGAAGACTCAGCAAGTGCGAGGCACTGTGGTGAAGACACTGCCAGCCCTGGATCCCCACCTGCTCGGTGCCGGCTTCATTACCCACGCTCATGAGGCAAGTGGGGCCCACCTCACTCTCAGGTAGCTCAGGTAGGTAGGGACCCAGGGAGAGCAGAGGGGAGGACAAAGGCCTTGTGTTGCTGCTTCTGCCCAGCTGGCTTGGGGCTGGGGGGCTTACATCACTCATGGAAAAATGAGCCATGAGGGTCCTCAGGGACCAGCTGCTCCCTCTACCCTTCCCCGGTGCCTGTGCAGAGCCCGTCCTGTAGGTCCGGGTACAGCCTGTGCTCTGGACACCAGAGTGTCTGCAATGAACCCAGAACCCATGAGGGCTCCAGGAAGCCAGGGTGGCTTCCTCTGTGTCCCCCTGACAGCCCAGCACCTCTGCCCTGCGTCACCTGCTCCAACCAAGCACACAGCTGTCAAGACTGGTGCAGGCCCAGCTCACTGTACCCAGTGTGGACCGTCTCGCCCTTCCAGTGCAGCACCCCAGGCAGCTGCCACCCAGGTCCCTCCAGGCTGCCGTCCCAGGGGGCGCAGCAGCATACTCTGCTGTAATCTATTCATCAGTCAGTCATTTAACCTGCCAGATTACACATGCGCCTCACTCTCCTGACACCCACCCTCTCCGTGCCATGCAACTTTTAGGTGAGATTACCATGAATCCGAGCCTATTAGACTGTAGAATACACAGGTTTTACATCTCAATATTTTAAAAGTGGTTTTGGGAACTGATCCCATTTAGATGCCAGCTGCATTACGAGAAGCATTTCAGATGTGTCTGGCCATGTGTGGTAAACGGTGAGGCCACAATACTGGAGGCCACTTTCCAGGAGCAAATGTAGAGTGGTCAGTGATGCACTTTATTATAATCAAGAGTCAAGTGAGAAAGATCAGTGGGGCGGAAGAGAGGTCCTGCAGGCCCCACACAGGGGCGACTGACTTGATGCGTAGCAAGGGGCAAAAGCAATTCAGTGGATAAAGGATAAAGGACAAACCAGTTTGGACACGTGGAGTGAAAGTAGAGGCTGCATGATTTGAAGAGATTTCACTAAAGACATCTAAATGTCGAATAAGATAAGCACACAAAACTCTCCTGCCCTGCTAGTGGTCCCTGCTGAAAACAGTTTTTTTGATTTATTCAAAAGTTGCACTCACACCTACTGGTGACCCAGCCCTTCCAATCCTAAGTGCACGCATACGGAGATTTCTAGGAAAATCATTCACACCAACTGTTTCAAATAACTGCAAATGACAATGTAAACATCAACCAGCGGCTGAATGACAAATCCTAGTAACCCATGCAATAGACTTCTACTCAGCAGAGCCTAGGAATAGACTATGGATTGATCTCAAAATAAGTACATGTGGTGAAAGAGGCCAGCCAGGCAGGCCGTACTATATATACTCAGTTATACGCATTGCTAGAAAATGACAACACGTCTGCATGGCAGAAGGCAGATCAGGTTCTGCGTGGGCGTGCGGCCAGACAGGACAGGGAAGCTTGGAAGGGAGGACACAGGAAAAAGGACAAGGAAACTCTTGAGAGTGACAGATATGTTTGTTTTCCTCATTGTGCTGATGGTTTTATTGGAATATGCATATATCAAACCTTACTGGATTCTATACTGTAATTATATGCAGGTGATTTATGGATATTTTCTTTCAATATAACCATTAAAAAAGCAAGGCACAGCAGTGTTTTCCAACTAAAGCCCCCAGACGAGAACAGAAAGCCTGCCCCACAAGGGCTGTGCTAATTGAACTCCCCTGCAGTTTATTTCCAGACTGTCGTGCAGGTGGCTGCTTCCCAGCCTCTTCCGGGACAGAGGAAATCTGCTTAAAGTCTGGCTCAATGTGTCTCCGCCCACACATGGTAACTCCTCCCCAGGGGTGGAGTCAAAGAGCAGAGAAGACACACGATCACAGGCAGACGAGCAATACCCGGGTTTTCTGCACACAACAGGGGACTATAAGGGCCACTGAGGCAAACAGGCGTGAGAAATGAGGGCAGCAGGAAACAGGGGCGGGGGCAAGCCAGCTTCCCAGATGGGAACAGCTGGTTCATAGTCATGGAGGCCGAGTGTGTGCTGGTGTCACCAGTGCTCCGGGGGGAGGGACTAGTGGGGGTGCAAGGACAGAGAGAAAGGTTCTCTTAGGCAGAGGAGAAGCTTGGAGGGGAGAGGTGCAGTGGGAGGAGGGCTGGGAGGGGAAAACTGGGAGGCGCGGCAGATCCAGCACTGGGGTGTTACAGACCAGGCTCTTCCGGGTGTTGGGGACGGCAGAGGGTCAGACAGGGAAGGTGGACTGACCAAGTGTCCCCGAAATGGGGCAGGGTGTTTTCAGTCCCTGCAGAGATGGGCGGTGAGGAGGTGCCAGCTGAGGGGCAGTGCCATCTGCCACCGTCTCTGATTTCTCCTCCAAGGCCTCTGCCTTCCCCGCTGATGTCTTGGTGTCCTCTTGACTACATGAGCTCCTCTGCTGGCTGCCCAGGTGTCCCTTGGGAGTCACGCAGAGCACCTAGAGGTGAGGTCGGCTCACCTTCATCCCACAGTCAAGACGCTGGCAGTGGCAGGGCTGTGGGCATGCGTGCTTTCCTCTGCCAGGACTGCAAGGCCAGCCCGGGGTGGAAGGCAGCAGCATGCTGGCACCGCTGGAGGCTTTTCACCTCTGCCGCTCTGCCTGGCCCCTGGGAGCCTGGGCCAGGGACACAAGTTTGTGTGCCTCAGGCTCTCCGAGGTGGCCTGGCGATGAGAGATGTGCCTGGGCCAGAGCACGGGGGTGACCTGGCTAGGTCGGGGAGTGTCGCTGGCCAGGTGAGTGGGCAAGTGACATCCCTGTGGGGACAAGTGGAGGGGGTGCATTCCAAACAGATGTCCATTAATGGCTGTGCTGGACAGATCTGGACAGAGCAGCAGGCAGAGCTCACTGCCAAGGGCTCACTCCAGGAACCAGTGGGTTGCCTGGAGTGCACTGTCCCAAGGTTGGCCTTTGTGACATCCCCAGAGCTTATGACAGAGCAGGGTGCCCACGAGGCGCAGCAGCCAGTGAACACATCATGGCCAGGCCACCGCCTCTAGCAGGACTCCTGTCCTTGGGGCCGCTCACTGCTCCTTTCTTGGTTTAGGGACCAGAGGGGCCACTCTGTGGGATCTGCTAGGACTGCAGGCCAACCCAGAAGAGCACCTAAGGCCACCTTAGGTGCTGGGTCCCTGTGGATGCCTTCCCACTCTCTGGGAGACCAGGGCCCAGCGTGCTGAAAACCCAGAGTCAGGGCCTCCCAGCTCCCACCAGGCCCCTTCAGGGACCTCTGCAGGGCTTCCGTGCCGCTGTGAGCCGTGCCCCCCTCCGCGCCCACCCTGGAGGCAGCAGCTGGCGGGGGTGTACTAACTGCCCGTTCCTTTAGTTCTGACTGTGTTTATAGTTACACTCGTCTCTCTGTGCATTTCTTTACATTCACTTCCCATCCCCTTCCCCAACTTGAAGGCGTGGGCAATTATTTGTTCGTTGCTCTGTACGCCGCGCATAGCTGTTACATGTACAGACAACAACACACACCAGGACGCTACACATTTCTACACTGTAGATTGACAACGTGGCTTATACATCATTTCTTCTCTTTTATTTTTCTACTCTCTTTATTTCTACTTCCAGGTCAATATATTCTTTCATTTATTGTTCGTTTCTTTTTCTTTTAGTTTTTCTTACACTTTTAATCCTTCTGGTGGAAAATGCATAACAATTTAGAAAGATAACAGATTATTTCTGTTTTTAGTTTGTCTTGATGTTTCGTTTTGTTGCAGTACCAGGGACTGAGCCCAGACCCCTGTCCTGAGCTACATATCCAGCCCCCTCCCTCTTTCATTTTGAGAAAAACTATCCTGCCTCAGCCTCTCCAGAGCACTGGGATTATGGATGTGCGCCATCACACCTTGGGGCAAGTAATTTATTCCAATCTGAAGAACAACCTTAAAATACTTCATCTAATTATAACCCTAGGAAAGCAGGCACCAAATTAGTGATGCTAAGATTCTTTGACCATCCTCATTCCCGTGCCCTGGTGTGCACAGAAGCCACCTGACGGATGCGTGCGCTTAGTTTGTGCTGCATTAGTCATGGGAAGTGCATAATTTATGACCAATGCAATCAGTCCTAACAAGAAGATTGACAAATCAGGTCTGACCTCGGAGAAATGAAGTAGATGATGCTTCCCAAAATTATTTCATGTCCTTATGTATGTGCACATTGTGTCTAAAAGAGAACAAATTCATCTTGGCTGGTGTTTTCTTTCTGATTCAACATAAAGGCTTCATTTTGTTTCATTTTATTTTATTTTACTTGTAGCAATAGTTGCTATATTTGGTTTTCCAGGATTTCCTCTATGGAGCAAGGACAAGAACAACAAAATTTGTTACATCCCTGGCCACTGCAGCAGTAATAACCAGAACTATTGGCATGATTGATATATAATTTGCCATCTTTTTCCAGGAGACAGGTGAAGAGACAATGTCCCCGAGTTTGCAAATGTTATCGATTTAGGAAAGCATCATTCTTGTGTCTCTGAATGCTGTCCCGCCATTTCCTTCTCGGGGTTCTAACCAGATTGTGGTAAACGCCCTCACTTCCTCATTTGTTCACTTTTCAAACAATATTTTAATATCTTTGCATGCATTGATGGGAGTTATCAACAAACATTTTATAAATATGTGGACATTGTCTTCGAGTATTGTCTACAATTCAAATCATCAACAATAACAATGAGCACTTTGTGCACAGTGAGAGAAGGAAGCGGTGGGCTGGGGAAGTGGCTCAGAGGCAGAACATTTCCCTAGCAGCCCTGAAGCTCTGGATTCATCCCCAGAACTGGTGTTAAAAAAAAAAAAGTGAAGAAGATGTCCTATGAGAAATAACGCAATCCCAGTTTCCTGCAGTATGGTGAAAGCTTGCAGAGAGATGGATTCAGGACAGATACCACATTCTCTCTGAAGATGGCATAGTCTGTTTGGCCATGCGCTCGCTGAGAACTATGTGGGCTGCGTGCTCTTTGGGCTGGGGTCCTTTTCAAGGGTCCCCATGGTTCCTGCCCGCCACCCTCTTGACTCTGGGCATAGGCTAGGACTCTCAGGGCTGCAAGCGCAGAAGGTGGCTTCCTGGGCCACATCCTTGCTGTGCTGGGGTCCCCCTAGCTGGTAGCCCAGGTCCTCAGTGTCCTGCTGTCCAGTCTCAGACACGGGAGGAGACCATGTTCTCCAGCTCCTTTTCCACCATCTGCCCAGACCAGACGTCCTGCAGACTCAGCTCAGTGCAGGGCAGTGTGAGTGCACCCAATCTGCCTGTGTGCTCTCTTGGCTCAGGACGCAGGTGTGGGCCGCCTGCTATGGTGGGTGGGCAGACCTGAGCTGTCCTGCTGCTGTGCGGCCCCTGCAGGCCTGGGCCCCGAGAGCCATCACTTTTCCTCCTCCCACTGCTTCCCGGGCTCCCCCTCCGATTGTCTCTGGCACTGTTTCCAGAGTCTACCACCGTACAGACATACGCACTTAGCTAGTTTTACTCTTTCAAAAAACACAATATATTTGTACATTTATGCATTACAATATTTTGACACATGCACATTGTGAGATGATCAAATCACATCATATCATTTACCATAATTGTGTTTAGCAGGAAAGAAGAGTTTTCTTCACCTTGACCGAGTTGGAGCCTGCACACAGCTTTTCTTGCCTCTCATGTTAATGAGTGCCTGTTTGCAGTGCATCTTTGCTCCTTGTGTGGAGCTGGTACACACCTACCACATCACGGGTCCTTTTTCACCCCTTTCTCCCTCCTCCCTTCCCCCTTACTCTATGTCCTAATCCCCCTCCCATTAGAGGAAGATCTATCTTCCTACTTCCTATGTCTCTTCTGTGTTTCTCTTTATTTTTATTCTGGGTTTCTCATATGTAAAAAATACATGCAATATTTAAGCTTATGTGTATTATTTCAATTAGCATGGTCTTGAAGTGAATCTGCTTTTTTATAAATGACTCAAATTTATCATTCTTCATGGCAGAGTAGTCCTCCCTTATGTATAAATACATTTTATTTATTCATTCATCTCTTAATGGACTAGTAGGCTGCTTCCAAGATTTAGCCATTGGGAATTATGCTGCTTTAAACATAATTGTGCAGGTGTCGTTGTAATATGATGTCTTTAACTCTTTCAGGAAGATACCTAAAAGACAATCGCTGAATCAAATGGGGTTTCTAGTTTCAATTTTTTAGACTCTCCAAACAAGCCAGGTATGGCAGCACATGCCTATAATCTCAGCGCTTAGGAGACTGAGGCAGGAGGATCACTGTGAGTTCAAGACCAGCCTGGGCTACAAAGTGAGCTCAAGGCCAACCTAAAGTGCATAGTGAGACTCTGTCTCAAAAAGACAAAAAAAGAATCTCCAAATTTCATAGTGGTGGTGCTAGTTCACATCCCCACCAACAGTTAGAAGTTTCTACATACCCAGCCTTGCAACATTTCTTAGTATCTGATTTCTTTTCTGTTGTGTTGTATTGTGTTGTGTTTTTGAGACAGGGTCTCGCTATGTAGCCCAGACTTGCCTTAAACTCACAGCAATCCTCCTGCCTCAGCTTCCCAAATGTTGGAAATGTGAATGTGCACCACCACACCCAGTGTTTTTGATTCCTTGATGGTGGCCATGCTTTCTAGGTATAACCAAAAAGACAATGAGTGATTCTGCTGGGAGACATACAGGGGAAGGTGGGCTCACGAAAACATTCTGCTGTGTCCTCGTGCACCTGTTCCCTGGATCTGGTGCTGTGTGACTTCTGGGTCTTCCCCAAAGTCAAAATGGCTGTAAAAGGTAAATGTCTTGAACGGAATCAGAGCATTAAGGCAGCCACAACAGCAAAGCTAAAGAAGACTTTGAGAATTTCCTAAGAAAGTGGCCAGAATTGAAGCAAGGGTTAGGGTATTTTGAGTGGATTAACAGCAATGTGTCTTTCACTGTAAAAAATGGCTTTTTGGTTGTTGTTTTTGTTTTGGTAACAGAGATCGAACTCATGACCTTGCGCTTACCAGGCAGGTGCTTATGCTGCTGAGCTATATCCCCGGCCCATAATAAATGGTTTTAATGTCCACCGTATTTTTCAGTCATACCTCGTATGTATGGTATTGTGTCTACACCACGTACGTGCATGTGTGTGTGTGTGTGTGTGTGTGTGTGTGTGTGTGTGTGTGTTTAGGGATGATGGAGAGGGAGATGGGACAGGCAAGTACCTGTGCAGGCTGGAGATGGGACACCAGGTCAGGTGAGCAAAACTAAAAGAAGTCACTGTCCCCACATGACTCTGCCCTCCGCCCTTGTCCTCCCTGGCTGAGCTGATGCATGCCAGCCACTGGGCCTGGGACAAGGAACAGAGGCCAAGGTCAGCTGTCTGCACAGAGCGCGCTGGAACCCAGCAGAGCAGAGTTGCCTGGGTGACTTATTGCTTATTAATAATATAAATATGTAAATGTGACAGGGGCCATATTGATCACAACACGTGGACCATCCATCACAAGGGTGAGGAACATGCTGTTATAAATATCAGCTAATAGGTCTGCAGCCTGAGACTTGTCAATATAGGTGAGGCCTGGGATGGGTCCCAAGGCAATTTTACTAATGAGAGTCACTCCAGCTGCCACCACTGCTTGCTTGCAGTGTGTGGGTTTTGAAGAGGAAGGGGATGTTGGGAAGCCTCAGACAGGAGGGAGAGATTCCTGGGTAGAGATACTAGGGAAACAACCTCCCTTTTTCTCCTCCTCTGTGAGCTGGAAAAACAGTCAGCAAAGCTCCCCAAATTGCAGCATCTCAGCATCTCCACCAGCTTGTGGAAGCACCTTCCCAAGTAGGAGAGCCCCAGCCCATCATGGTAACATATACCACTTCAAGGCCTTTTTCAGATCGAAGGCTGTGCTCACGCCCAGAGCTAAGCCATGCTGTCACAAGTTGCCATCTCTTTGGCTCCTCTGTCTCCCAGTGGGTAGGGACTCAGGTCAGGTTTCGGGGAGCACCTCTGAGGCCCCCAGGGCTGCCATTAGTATTCAGCATCTTTTCAGTAATGGGCCCTCTTCATGCCAATTTGATTTTATTATTATGCCAACACACTTGCTTAATTCTCTGCTGTCTTTCTTCTGCACTGTTGATTTACACTGTTAGTGTTTTAATTATACAATTCAGCACTCCTTAAAACATGAAAAACTGCTCAACTTTTCAAGCAATTAAAAGGCAGTGGAGTATATCAGCAGATCTGAGACGAGATAAGTAAATCAAGCAATTAAAAACCTCGCTTGGTGAAAATGTAGCAACCTACCCCAAATGAGCCGGGTTGGTGGGCCCTCCTGACAAAACTTCAGAGCGACTCGCCTTCTGCCTCAGCAACTATGGGTTCCCCAGGTCCCCTTATCTTCCCTTCCCCCTCCTTGTACATACCGCTTGGTTGACCCAGTCTCTGGGCCTCGGGTGCAGAGAAACTTCGTGGAAACAGCCTAGGGCTGGGTTTCCTGAACGCTGGATGCTCCCCTGGCCACCAAGCAGCTCATAAACACAATTGTACCATTCCCTGGGGCTTCCCACTGGCAAATAGGATTGCATTACTAGCATTTGGACTGTGTGTGTGTGTGTGTGTGTGTGTGTGTGTGTGTGTGTGTGTGTGCATAAATATACATAACACAATCTAACATTGCAAGGAAAGAAGACTACCGTAAATTCATGGCTGAAGCCTCTTATAACCAGACAGATTAACAAGGGAAACAAGTGCACCTCTATGTAACATAAGTTTTCTGTGACACGAGAGACTTCATAATGGAATGAAGTCCCACAGAAATAGATGAGCCTGAGTATTTTTTATGCTAGGTTTGACGGAGAACTGCAGAGTCACGCTGAAGACTATTTTCAAAGTATAGTCTCACTATAATTAAGGAAATGTAGCACAGCCTGTGTAAGTATTCAGATTCTTTGCACCCCTGCATCTCCAGAGGTAAGGATAGTCCCTTCCTCCAGGCCCCCAAGGGCACCTTTCCCATGGGAGTCCCGTGGTCTCCTGCAGGGGAGGTCATAAAGTCCTCCTTAGATTTTGTAACCTGCTACAGGGGAAGGGTGAGGGCAAGCGACAGGGACCTTCCCATATATGCTACCTTCTCACATGTTAGCATGCCAGTTTCAGCAGACCTGAATCCCATCACCATCTCACACATTTTTTTCAGTATCTGAGACATAATCTCATTTTGTTGCCCAGGCTGGCCTCTAACTCAAAATCCTCCTGTCTCAGCCTCCTGAGTAGCCGGGATGACGAGCACACACCCCTGAGCCTGGCTATCTAATGCATATTTTAAGTGGAGGGTTCAGCAGGTCTGCATTTACACTGCTCATTCATATGCATGTGGTACACCCACGTTCTGGCGCACCCCTCACACCATCCATCTCCAGGGCTCTTTCCCTCCTGCAGAACTGAGACTGTACCCGGCAGACACTAATTTCCCACCGCCTTCTGGACTCACTGGCTTTTATTGGCCCCTGCAAAGTCCCACGGGTTCATCTCAGGCACTGCAGCACCAACTGGGAAGGAGCAGGGGGAGGCAGGAGGAGGAGGGGGAGGCAGGGTTCTTCTTGATCTCTTGATCTGTTTAAGCTATTGGGCTTCTGGGTTCCATTTCATTTGAGCACAAGGCTATAAAGGGTTATTTCTTAATGCCTGGAAAACACATGAACAGGATCCTCTTAAAGGTCCTCTGGATTGGAGTAACTTGCTTCAGGCTTGAATTTCTTGAAAGCAAAGCTCAGCCCGGAGCAAGGAGCAGAGAGCCCTGCTTTTCTGAGTCAGAGCAGGACAGAGCACACTCCCCTGGCATGAGCTGGTAGATCCCAGAAATCCAAGCCCTTCTTAGGCCTTAGCCATTCCCTCCCAGTACACACTGGACTCCTAATTCGGGCTCCAGGGGACCCAGACCAGTGACTTTCTGTGAAGGCAAGGTTGGGGACAAGGTGAAGCAGGGACAGGCGGTAACAAACCCCTCATTCATCACACTAGGAACCAGGAAGCCCAGAGGTGCCATTTGCTGCCAGATCACTGACCAGGCTGTCTGAAGTAGGCCCCTGACCAAGGTGGGGCCACTGTGCACGGGGGTGGCACTGAAGGAGCCAGAGGGCCAGGGAGGCAGCCAACGGCAGTGTCTGGAGTGGCAGCCATGCTAGCCCCTGAGGAAGAGGCAAGGCCAAGGTCCCGGTACTTGGCTCTGGGACTCAGTTCAGTTTACCTGCAAGAGACCAAGAATGTCCTGGAATGTGCCTGGCTCCAGATGCTACCCAAATTCTCCCTGTTAGGGTACAGGATAAAGGATATGTTTTGGCTTTCCTCACCTCAAGGAAACAGAAGGCTTTTCTGCCATTTTGTTCTCAACCCAAGCACTTGCCTTTAACAACATGCACAGGACTAGCAATCAAAATCTGTAAATGCTGTCTTTTAAATGGCTGTTTGCTGGGTCTCTCTTTTTGGGGTCTTATTTACAGAGCAGCACTCCCTCTTCTTCCTCACCCATGCCTGCCTAGAGTAAAAAGTAATTAGAGGACATAAACCCTAATCAAAGAGGGAGAGAGGAGGAAGCCACACCCAGGTCCAGCTTCTGTGATCCAATTCCGCTCCCATTTCAACTACGTTCACACACCGAGTCAGAGCTCCCTGGGGTCACCTTCTCAGCTACAGCGAACCCTGGCTCCCAGTGACATATCCCCCACGGATACTCAGGGCCTGACCCTCCCTTCCCTCAGTTCTGTCCACGAAAATTTTCCAGCCTGCTCCGTGGCCTTCTCAAGGTTACTTCCCCTGAGCAATTTCTGTTCCAAACAGTTTCTACTAGTTGCTTTTTGTAATTCCAGAAGCTCCATTAATCATTCTTAAGCTCCTTGAATGCAGTATTTTCTCTAAGAACCAAAATTTCTTCTCAACTCTGTACCCTCCTGTCACCTCTGATTACCCACTCCCATCAGTCGTTAACATAAAGCACTAGCATAGCTCGAACCTCTGTATGCCCTGATTATTCTGACTTGGAGTTTTCTCCGATTGTACCTAATTGATTAAAAAGTGACCAGGATGGGAGGGATCAAGCAACTCCTCCAGCCTGAGTTAAAATCATCTCAAGGGAAAAGAGTCCCAATGCCCTTAGATCTTTTCTCAGATGGGGAAACTGAGGCCTGAAAAGGTAATGTAGCATCTTTCTTCCTCCCGCAAGCCCACTCTTCCAACTGATGCAGCATAGACCTTAATATGCTTCCTATAAATTAGTTCCCAGAAATGTTCTGTAAAAAGTAGAGGGTGGAGGGTGGAGGGTGGAGGGTAAAAGGAAGCCCGTGCTGCAGTAAATTTTAGAAAACCTCTGTATTATGTCACCCTCTTGGATATCCACAACACAGCAGCTCATTAAAGGCTTTTGAGAAGACACAGCAAAAAGAAAATCTGACAACTTTAATTCAAACCTTGGTTAAGCAACGTCTCTTTTTGTTTTCTCTCCAGGCTACTTATAGGAGTTATATATTTTGTGTTTAAAGAGAGAGAGAGAACACTCCAAAATGAAGTAGCTGACAATAACGGCTTCTCAGTTTCTAGGATCAGCAATGTGTCAGTGGCTTAGCTGAGTGGGGCTCAGGGTGACCTGCAGAGAAGAGGTCTCTGAAGACCCGGCCTGGGGCTGGAGGGCTCAGCGCCTCACTGCACGGGCCTCTCTGTAGAGCTGTTGGAGCGTCCTCAGGACATGGCAGCTGGCTTGTTGAGGACAGAGAGATAGAGAGAGAGAGAAAGAGAGAGAGAGGAAAAGAAGCATCAGTGTCTTTTGTGACATCTTTGGAAGTCACATACCATCATCTCTTAACCCCATGGTTATTCAGATCAGCTACACTCAGTGTGGGAGGCAGGAGACCTCACAAGCGCGTGGATACTAGAAGGTAGAAACCATAAGCCACCGTTTTGGACGCTGGCTGACATAATACCTGCTAACCCTACAGGCACACCTCCAGGCGCACTATCCTGAACCCATTCTGGGGACTGCAACACAGTTGAGAGGATCACCATGCATTGGAGGCCAGCCTGGGCTACATAGTGAATTCAAGGCCAGCCAGAACTACATACTGAGACTGTATCTTAAAAAAAAAAAAAAAAAAGAGCTGAGATAAATACCCCACGTTCTCAGCCTGATGTGACTATGATCAGATGTCACAGGTGACCACATTTACCTCCACTCTCCAAGGACTAAGCCCCAGCCGTGGTTCTGTCTGGCTCCAGCTCTTCATGGGGATGGATGTTCTTCCTCACGTGGCCCAGTCAGCCATCAGCCTGCTGTCTCTAGTGAGCCAGGGCCTCTGGCCATCAAGGTGAAGCCCAGAAACCAATATCCTCTGGACCACAGACCACTCAGCCTCAGATAAAGCAAGATTAGCTCCCTTTTTGACATAGGGAGCCCTTCTAGATACTCACTGAGCTCCTGGTTCTAATATAACAGCAGCTGTGGTAAGAATAAGACTCAGATACATGTAGAGATTCACACATGGGAAGAATTTCTAAACTATTTACGGGAACAGATTATATAATACACGATATAATGAACAGATACTCTGAAGAAGAGACACTAAGAAGCCCAATGCTAATTCTGTAGCATTATGATATAAAATCTAGCAATACTATCATTCACTGTTCAGAGTGATATTAGTCTCTTATGTTCAGTTTCAGCATATGTAAAGATAAAGACAGCTACTACAAAGAGACTGAGAAACATTATGGTAGTCATTATTGACTTCCCCAAAATCAGATCTTGAAGACCTAAAAAGCCTTCATCATCCTGTAATGATTTGATTAATTCTATAATGTTCAGTATATAGTCAATGTGTGTGAAGATGGGGACAACTATTTGGAAGAAATCCAGAGACAATAAGACAGACAGTGAAGATCTCCAGCAGACTTGCTTTGAAATCTGTTTCTTTCTTTTTTTTTTTTTTTTTTTTTTTTTTTTTGTCTTTTTCCTTTTTACCGGTACCAGGGATCGAACTCATGACTGCCTGCTTGCAAGACAGGCGCTTACGCCGCTGAGCTAAATCCCCAGCCCCTTGAAATCTGTTTCTTTAAATTTTTTCCTTACAAACTGTTTTGTTCTGTTTTTTTATGTTTAATCTTACCCTCTTTAGGATAAAAAACAAGTGTGTAGGACTGATAACCATATTACTAAGTTCTTGTTGGATCATTGAGCAGAACTATTTGCGGTGTCGTTATTTGAATATCACTTTGTATACTTTAATTTTGTAACTCAAGCAACTATTTCTAAGATGATGCTATGTAACTTATTGACTGGTGATTTCTTACGGTTTATTTTTCTGAAATTCTGTATTGTTTCTACCCTTTTTTCTGTTTTTTACTTTCTATTTAAATAAAAAAGAATAAATATCGATAACACTGATCATTTATTGTATGCCAGGAACTGTGCTGACACTTGTATATACACTGTGTCTTTATATCCTCACAAAGACCACAAGAGGTGGCTCCTATATCCCCACTTGATGGATTGGAAAATTGAGTCAGCACAGCTGAATATGACATGGCCAAAAGTGATCTGGGACTGTATGATTCTAGCTCCCAAGCTGCTGGCAATCAAGCTATTACTCCAACTTCTAGGTCACCTGTAAAAGACAGGGAGCCAAAATGTGTGAGTCTGTGTCATGATGTAGTATTTTCTGACATGAGTGACCCTCTCCACCCACCTCACTCTCACCTCACCTCAATGACTACACCTCCTCCTCTACGATGATGCCCCTAATCACTGAATTGTAAGACCAAAATGCTAGAGGATAGTTATGGTCTAGCCTCCAACAACAGGAGGTTTTGAAAGGTTCTTGAAAGACAATTGTTTAAAATAAAAACTTTAGCACAGCCTGTTGCTATGCAGTGTATATCACTAGGCTTATATCTAAAACATGCCCCAAGTCTCCTTATTCAGAGGTGAGGCTTCCAAAGATGAGTGGACCAAAAGGGCTCCACTTTATCAATAGACTGATCCGTTGGTGAGATCGGAATCTGAGGGCATCATTGGGAGATGATGACAATTCAGGAGATGGGCTTAATTGAAGAGATACTGACCTTTAGAACTGTATCTTCAGACTGGCCCTTTTCCATTTCCCTCTGCTTCCTGGCTGCTTAGATGTAAATTGATTTCCTCTGCCATGTCCTTCCCCCCCAATGCTTTACCTCACCACCACCCTAAAAGCAACGGGCAAGTGGATCATAAAAGCATGAGCCAGAGTTAACCTCCATCCTTTTCAACGGTTTGTGCCAGGTGTTTTGCAACAGGAACGAAAAGCTAGCACGTACACAGAGTTGTAAAATACATGCTAACTGGGGCACTGAGGAGTAAACCGAATTTTCCTATTATAAGGTTCTTATATTTCATGGTAAATTCTGTGATATTAAATGCAAATATGCTGTGATAAGTTAAGGACACATAGAGAAACCACTTATGAAAATATACAGATGTATAGATAAAAAGCAATTGAGGTCTTAAAACTGAATTTGAAAATAAAGGGGGGGAGGGATGCAGGAAAGAGCCAGGCACATTGGTGTACAGCTGCGAACCCTTTGGGAGGCAGAAGCAAGAGGATCACAGGTTCAAGCACAGACTGGATATTTAGGGGCTCAGCAAGACCCCACCTCCAAATTTAAGGAAGGCACTGAGAATGTTGAAGCCTCATTTATGAGGTCCAATCACCAGTCCAAAAAATCATTAAGGCAGCAAAGGAGAAAGAAAAGAACAAAGAACACATTCAACAACTAGCAGATAAATTGCAGGCATCACAGATTTTAAAATAAACCCACTAATCCCAGCCTTTACTAGAGGCGCTCTCAATAACACAAGAGGCTTCCTTACGTGTAGACAGACCTGTCACTGCTTCTAACTAGTAGAACACAGCAAAGGTGACAGGATGTCCCTTCTATGACAGTGCTGCATAAGGCTGCAATCTCCATCTTGTGAAGGCTTTCTCCTTTCTTGACTTTGCCAAAATAATTTCGAGCTGTCCTGTGGAGAGCTCCATGTGGCAAGAAACTGACAGCCATGCGTGCCCAGGAGCCAGCAAGTCACAGGCGCTCATTCTAACAAACTGAATCCTGCCAGCAACCTCGGGATATTGGCAGTGACTCTTTTCCTAGTCAGTTGTTCCAATAAGATTCTAACCCTAAATAAGACGCTGACCACAGCCTCATGAGAGATCCTGGAGCACCCAAGCCACTCACATATTCTCTACGTGCAGAAACTGTGAGATAATAAGCCAGATGTGTTGGCACACACCTGTAATCTCAGCACTTGGGAGGCTGAGGAAGGAGGATTGCTGTGAGTTACAGGCCAGTTTGGGCTACAAAGTGAGTTCAAGGCTAACCTGAACTGCACAGTGAAACCTTACCTCAAAAAGATCCCAAAAAAACCTATGAGACAGTAAATGTCTGTTCTATAAGCAGATATGTTTGTGGTACTCTGTTCTACAGAATACATAACTATTATGACAGGACAGTAGATCTAAACTATTTCATTAATTACATTAAGTATGAATGGACTAAAACTTAAAAATAAGAGCATAATATTATCAAATTGGACTACTATTTAAAATTAAAAAGTTTATCTTAAATATAAACACAGCTAGGTTGAAAATTAAAGTACAAAAAGATATATCACGCAAGCTGTAGACATCAGAAAGATGATGTGCCTGTGCTTACATGAGATAAAACAAATATGAAGATAAAAAATATTACCAGAGATAAAAAAGGAACATTGCATAGGGATGAAAAAATAAATATATCACAAAGACATAGCAATCTCAAAATGTGTGCACCTAATAACAGAACTTAAAATATATGAAGGAAAACCTAATAGAACTACATAAAGAAATAGACAAATATACAATCATAGTGAGAGATAGTAACACCTCTCTTAATAATTAATAGAACAACTAGAAAAAAATCAGTAAGTATATAGAAGTTCTGAATAGCTCTGCCAATCAGTTTGATCTAATTGATGTTTACAGAATACTCCACCAACTGCTATAGAATATACATCCTTTTGAAAGGCTCACAACTATTCATCAAGATAAGATTACATTCTGTAACAGGGGTCTTGATAAAATACCACAGTATGTTCTCTAACCCTGATAGAATTAAATTTAAAAAGCAACAACAATAAGAGCTCTAGATACCTCCCAGAAATTTATAAATTAAACAGTACATGTATCAATAGAAAAGAAACTAGAAAACATGTTTAACGGAATGATAATAACAAAATCTGTGGGTAGATTTTATTTTTGCTCGTGGGAAATTAACCGCTCTAAGAATTTCCCTCTGTAAAATAATCAGAAAAACAGATGTTCATTTCTGCTCCCAGTTGCAAGCACAGAGCTCCTGGTACCCCTGCAGCTGGGAGCACTGGGAGAATCTTTCGCCCTAATGTGTAGTCTTTGATTCTGGTCTCTAACACACAGTTCCTAACATCTTTGCAATTTCCGGAGTGACAGGGACATAATATAGCTCTTGAATCCCTTACAAGTTCCAGGTGATAGAGTATCCTTTATCCTAACAGGGCTACAGCTGGTGAGTTACTGGATCACCTCAGGATAGGAACAGTTGCCAGAGGAACCAACCTTGTTATTAGGAGGTTGGAACTTTAATCCCCTGACCTCTAGTAAAGGCAAGATGGGCTAAGGCTGAGTCAGTCAACAACGGTTAGTGAAGTAATCAGT